CATATATTTTACAAATGTATAAAATCATTTAAGTAATGTTTTGTAGAGTTGGATATATGGGCCCCTTCCTAGCATGGGAAAGAGGCAAGTGTTGGGGAGGTATACAGACTTAGATCCAAGTTGCCTAGATGCATTATTCTGTTCGTCCATGCCTTGACGAAATATGTCTTGCACGAAATGATCCAAGTATGGTTCACATAATAAAAAAATAGAGACCATGCAGTAGAGTCATACTCAAGATGATGAACATAAGCACCAAACTTCGATTGGTCGTCACAGTCCATCACATTTTGTCACACTTCCATCAAGACATCCCATGCCTCAACATTATCTACTAACATTTTGCATTTCGCTTTGACATTTTTCTTAATGTGGAATGTATAGAGCATCTGATATGTCTCAGGAAATACATTGTCAATGACATTCATTAAAGTAAGGTCTCTGTCAGTGACAACAACGCGTGGACCGCCCTTTGATGTCAATAGTAATCCTTTGAACCTTTCCAATGCCCAAGTGAAATTATTTTGGCGTTCACTTGAAAAAAATGCAAAGACGGCTATGAATGTCAAACCAATTGATGTGACTCTAACAATCTCAAGCAACAGAAGACGATATTTGTTCGTCTTGTACGTGGTATCCTTTAGGGAACAATATTAAATGAATTCAGCAAGTGCACTGAATCGGGATGTGTCCAGAACATGTCACTTACCACGCTAGAATTGTCCAAAGATCTACTCCATTAAATGNTTTTTTTATTTAATTGATAATTTATATCGTAATGTTTATAATATATGTTTTTTGATTTAATATGTAGTTGAATATGTTATGTTGTTTTTTTAGTAGTTAAATTTTAATATTTTAATGTTTATTGTAGGTTGTATTTAATATTATAAGATGAATAATTATCCATTTCTCGATTCTCAAATAAATTTTGGTTTTATGTTTGAATTTTTTTTATTTTTTAAATGAAGTGCTAATGGTGATTACACAAATAAGTTTTTCCATTGATCAAATCTTTCTCTCATATGCCGATTTAATTGAATGTGTTCGAAAGATTGCATTCGACCTTGGATTTGTTGTCGTGATTATAAGATCTGACATAACAACTAGTGAAGCTGGAAGAAAGACATTTATTTTGTTAGACTGTGAAAAGAGTGAGAAGTATATGAAGTATAAGCCAGATGTTCAACCTAGTGTATTTGACACAAGAAAATGTGAGTATCCGTTTAGGTTGAGGGGTACACCTAAAGAACAGGGTTGTGTTAAATGTTATGTGTGGTTATCACAACCATGAATTAGCATAGACTTTGTATGATCATTCTTTCGCGGGGAAGTTAAATGTTATTGAACAATCAATTCTTGTTGACATGATTAAGAGTCAAGTAAAGCCCTCAAATAATTTTTTGACTTTTAATGAACATAATGAAACTATTGTGACCACTATAAAGCAAATATATAACACGATGTACACTTACAAACGATCTTTGAGAGAGTCGAGAACTGATATGCAACACTTGATGATGTTGTTAGATGGAGATAAATAGATCCAATGAAGTAGATATTTGGACGATTCTGATATGGTAAGTGACCTGTTTTGGACACATTCTGATTCAGGGCACTTGTTGAATTACTTTAATATTGTTTTCTTAATGGATACCACGTACAAGACGAACAAATATTATTTTTCGTTGCTTGAGATTGTTGAAGTCACATCAACTGATTTAACATTCATAGCCTCCTTTGCATTGCTTTCAAGTGAATGCCAAAATAATTTCACTTGGACATTGGAAATGTTCAAATGATTACTATTGACATTAGTGGTGGTCCACGCGTTATTGTCACTAATAGAGACCTTGTTTTGATATTGACAATGTATTTCCTAAAGCGTATAAGATGCTTTGTACATTTCACATTATAAAAATCTCAAAGCCAAATGAAAAATGTTAGTGGATAATGTTGAGGCATGTGATGTCTTGATGGAAGTGTGGCAAAATGTGATGGACTATGACAACCAATTGATGTTTGGTGCTTATGTTCATTGTCTTGAGTATGCCTCTCTTTTATTACTTCTATTTTTTGATTATGTGAGCCATACTTTGATCATTCCGTGCAAGACATACTTTGTTAAGGCGTGGACGAACAAAGTGATGCATCTAGGAAACTTGGATCGAAATCTGTGTATCTTCCCGACACTTGCTTCCTTCCTATGCTAGGAAGGTGCTCATATATCCAACTCTACAAAAACATTACTTAAATTGTTTTATACATTCCTAAAATATATGAAAATAAATTTCTAAAACTAAAATGTACCTGTAGAAGAGTGAAATATCCAACTATCTGCCTTACATCAGTAAAGCTAGCATCTCTTAGTTGCCTATAAGTATGTGCCAGTGTCGGTGCTCATAAGTATGTGCCAGTGCCGTTGCTCATAAGTATGTGCTAGTGTCGCTGCTCCCCAAGCATATCTCGCACGGGGGCATTTAAGTCTTGTAATAGAAGGAGGTATGAGACTCGAATCAGAGTGTCACTCTTATTTGTAAAAATTGTGCATCCAAGCATATGCAACAAGTAGGCCCGAGCAACGCACTCCCAAAGCTCCTACTCAATGCACTCCTGGTAGACCTCCCGCAGCCAGCTCAACCTAACTTTTGAACCGCGTGTCTGTTTCATCTCAATTGTAGCTTTGACGCAGTCCACGCCAAGCAGCTCCATAATATGAGATCGAGCCTCCTCAACTCTAACTCATCGACCTCACAAAATTGATCCATGATGGGTAGGTGGAGTAGATTATGTATGTCATCTAATATGACGCTCATCTCACCTATTGGGAGGTGAAAAATATTCGTCTTCAGGTGTGACCTCTCCGCAAGGGAAATGATCAATCCATGATCGGCATACTCGTATGGTAGGTTCACTAAGGAACTCAACTTCGACATGGAGATATAAGGCTCAATAGCCTCATGGTACATTCCAAAATGTTTTAGTTTTTTTTCATGGAAGATCATCTTGATCTCCCTTCGATCCTACATAATAACACAAAATTATACAACAAACATAAATAAACAATTAAGGAACAATTAACATTTAGGTTGATGACTAACTTGGCCTTGTTATATGACAAATGCAACGTGCTGGGTATAATAGGTAAGTAAGGAGGTGTCATGTGGACCTCCTAGGAATCCACCACCTTCATCTTCTTCCTCACCAACATTGAGCTGCTGAACATCCTCCTGCTCAACATGCTCATGCTCATGAATGACATCCACACGATATTCTTCAATGCGTGTTCTACGAGTAGATGTCGTAGGTCTTCTCCTTTCATCATGTGATGAAGATGAAGGCTCACCACGAAAAGATGATGCACCTCTAGTTTTATCCATTTCTATTAATCAATTATATAGAAAATAAATTATATTAAAAATATAATAACAAACAAAAAAAACAACAAATAATTACATAATAATAAATATTGAAACAAATAATAAATAATAAAATTAAAGATTAATAATAAACTAACAAAGAAATACAAAAAAATAAAAAAATAATTACTTAATAAATAATACTTAAATAATTACAAATTATGACAAAAACATTAAAAAATTAAAAATAAATTAAGTAACAAATTAATAAGTAAACAAAATTTTTAGGCATAATAATTATTATTTAAATAAATAAATAGTTTCAAATGCATTACAGATTCAAAACAAATTCAAAAACAAATAAAATAAAATTAAACAAAAACAAATACATAATAAATAATATATAAAGAATTATAAATTATAACAAAAACACAACAAATTCAAAATAAATTAACACACGAATTGTGGTTAAGGCTGGACCTTAAGCAAAACACCTCCTTAATTTCCCAAGAGGTTCACATGACATCTTCTTTCTTATTATCCATTATACCTAGCACGTTGCATTTGTCATATGACAAGACTAAGTTAGTCATAAACCTAAATGTTAATTGTTCATTAATTGTTTTTTTTTTGTGATATAATTTTTGTGTTGTTATGTAAGATCAAAGGGAGATCAAGGTGATCTCCCATGAGAAAAAACTAAAATATTTTGGAATGTACCATGAGACTATTGAGTCTTATATCTCCATGTCGGAGTTGGGTTTCTTAGTGAACCTATCATATAAGTATGCCGATCATGGATTGATTGCTGCCCTTGCAAAAAGGTGGCACCTGGACAAGAATACTTTCCACCTCCTAGTAGGTGAGATGAACGTCACATTAGATGACATCCACGATGTGCTCTACCTACCCATCATGGGTCAATTTTGTGAGGGCGATGAGTTAAAGTACAAGGAGACTCGATCTCATATTATGAAGCTGCTTGGCGTAGATCGTGCCAAAGCTACAACTGAGATGAAACAGACACGCGGTCCAAAAAGTTTGGCTGAGCTGGCTGCGGGAGGTTACCAGGAGTGCATTGAGTAAGAGCTTTGGGAGTGCACTGCTCGGGCCTACTTGTTTCATATGCTTGGATGTACAATTTTTACGAATAAGAGTGACACTCTGATTCGAGTCTCAAACATCCTTCTCTTGCAAGACTTGAATGCCCGTGCGAGATATGCTAGGGGAGCAACGACACTGACACATACTTATGAGCAACTAGGAGATGTTAGCTTTACTGATGTTAGGCAGGTAGCTGGATATTCCACTATTCTACAGGTACATTTTAGTTTTACAAATTTATTTTCATATATTTTACAAATGTATAAAATCATTTAAGTAATGTTTTGTAGAGTTGGATATATGGGCCCCTTCCTAGCATGGGAAAGAGGCAAGTGTTGGGGAGGTATACAGACGTAGATCCAAGTTGCCTAGATGCATCACTCTGTTCGTCCATGCCTTGACGAAATATGTCTTGCACGAAATGATCCAAGTATGGTTCACATAATAAAAAAATAGAGACCATGCAGTAGAGGCATACTCAAGACGATGAACATAAGCACCAAACTTCGATTGGTCGTCACAGTCCATCACATTTTGTCACACTTCCATCAAGACATCCCATGCCTCAACATTATCTACTAACATATTGCATTTCGCTTTGACATTTTTCATAATGTGGAATGTATAGAGCATCTGATATGTCTCAGGAAATACATTGTCAATGACATTCATTAAAGTAAGGTCTCTGTCAGTGACAACAACGCGTGGACCGCCCTTTGATGTCAATAGTAATCCTTTGAACCTTTCCAATGCCCAAGTGAAATTATTTTGGCGTTCACTTGAAAAAAATGCAAAGACGGCTATGAATGTCAAACCAATTGATGTGACTCTAACAATCTCAAGCAACAGAAGACGATATTTGTTCGTCTTGTACGTGGTATCCTTTAGGGAACAATATTAAATGAATTCAGCAAGTGCACTGAATCGGGATGTGTCTAGAACATGTCACTTACCACTCCAGAATTGTCCAAAGATCTACTCCATTAAATGTATTTATCTCTATCTAACAACATCATCAACTGTTGCATATCAGTTCTCGACCCTCTCAAAGATTGTTTGTAAGTATACTTCGCGTTATATATTTGCTTCATAGTGGTCACATTAGCTTCATTATGTTCATTGAGAGTCAAAAAAATATTTGAGGGCTTTACTTGACTTTTAGTCATGTCAACAAGAATTGATTGTTCAACAACATTTAACCTCCCCACAAAAGGATGACCATACAAAGTCTCTGCTAATTCATGATTGTGATAACCGCACATAACCTTGAACACCCAACTCTGTCCTTTAGGTTTACCCCTCAATCTAAACGGACACTCACATTTTCTTGTGCCAGATACACTAGGCTGAACATCTGGCTTATACTTCTCACTCCTTTCACAGCCTAACAAAATGAATGTCTTTCTTTCTGGTTCACCAGTTGTTGTGTCAGATCTTATAATCACAACAGCAAAGCCAAGGTCGAATGCAATCTTTCGAACCCATTCAATTAACTCGGCTCGTGAGGGGAAGATTTGATCAGTGGAAAACTTATATGTGTAATCACCCTTAGCCACTTCATTTAGGAAAGAAGAAAATTCGGACATGAAATCAAAATTTATTTGAGAATCGAGAAATGGATAGTTATCCATATTATAATATTGAATACAACCTACAATAATAAATATTAAAATTTAACTAATAAAAAAACAACATAACATATTCATTTTTATATAATAAATCAAAATGTTGAGATTGGTATCACGTAGTGCAAATGTTTTAGAGAGTGTGTTAAGGTCAATAACCAAGAGTGGAGGGGTGATTTTCTTTTAGAACTTTTATCAAATAGATTCAAAGAAAATCAACACAAAAGAATTTTATCTTCGTTCGAATTAAAAGATTCTACGTCCAATCGTTAATTACTATAAAGAGTGATTAACCTTTTTTCACAAAAACATCGTTTCAGATTACAATCAGATTGATACAAAGATTAAAAGACAAAGAACACCTTCCTTCGACACACGATGGAAGAACTTGGCTCAATCAACTTGAACAAATCCGCTTCGACTTTAGATGAATTAAACGCAAGGTTTTCCTATTCACAAGACTTGACATGAATTCTTAGACTTGAGAACTTCTTTAGAACTTTTCTATATTCTCAAGTGGCTTAGTTAGCCTCTCAGAGGTTTAGGAAGGTGTATATATAGCCTACGGGTCAAAAATTGAAAAATCTGCTCCCAACTGTCAATGATAATTGATTATTTGCGATCGCTATGGGGTTTTCGAAAAAGTGATAATTGATTATTTGCGCGCCTTGGACAATATTAAACCAAGCAAAAAATAACCATAAAAAAAAAGTCACAAGATGAAAAGACTTGTAAGAAGGAACAAGCATAAATGGGGTTTCCTTCCTTAGGCACCAACACACACACAAACAAACCTCTACTATAAAAATCTTGCCTAAAACACCAACACATACAAAGCCTACCTAAATGGTAATGCAAATCAAGCCTGCATAGTTAACTAAATGATAACATTAGTTAAATTCATAAATGTGACACTTGAGTTATTTAGATGATAACATAAGTCTACAAATAAGATACCCAAGTTATCAAGATAGGAATAAGTCCAAAAGCATAACACCCAAGTTACCTATTCGGTAACATAAGTTATGCTCACAAACACAACACCCAAATTACCAACATCCAAATTACCTTGACAATAAATTATGCTCACAAACACGACAATCAAGTTACTTGGATAATAACATAACTCCAACAAAACTCAATCAATGTTATTAGCCTAAATATTCACAAAAATATTTATTAAATATATAATCAAATCTCAATAGTATAATTATATTTCAATCGCTATAATTTTTTTTATAAATACTTACTAAATAACAAGTTGTATCCAAACACAGGATATTTATAACTATTGTTTCTGTCTTGTTTAAACTTAACCAATAATCTATGAAATACTAATGTCACGTACGTCGATGCCTTGACATGTACAGATACTTATCTTACAAGTATCTCTTTTAAGATACCTGTGTGGTATCAAGTATGTGGGCTTCATAGTGAGCCCATAATCAGGGACTTTCTGACTACAGGCCAACTTTCAACAACTTACCTTATTTTAAAATTTATTCCTTAAACCTTCAAAATAAATAAATAAAAAAGTTATTGGTTAAGCAATAAGCATAAAATTTGTCATCTTTCGACTATAATAAAATTAAAAAAAAAAATTTTGATATAGATTCTTTTACAATATTTTAATAGGATATATATTATTTATTTATTATTGTATTGATATATTTTAAACCCAATATAAAAATAACGCATATGTTGTATCTAAATATTGTTAAAAAATATGTATTAACGTATAATTGCCCATTAAGTTAATCATACCATACAAGTTTTACGTGGTCATTTAACCTTTTACGCATCTGCTTACAGTGTCAATTAAGAAATTGGTCAGAGAGAATCTTCATAGAAATATGTTGCTGACAACATAGGCACACGTCCAGCTAGCTAATGAACACTAACGTTAATTGGTTTCTCCTAGACAATGTTGACATTGTGTATGACGTATACCACAAGGAATTCTTCTCGTAATTATAAGTAATTAGCAAGTGAATTATTTAATTATAGGGATTTCCTTTTATATAAAATAAATTTAATTTGGTCTACAAAAACCCCTTGAATCCAAAGCATTGGAAACAAAGACCACCACCACTCCATCCTCGAAACAACGTTGTGGTTTATCGGAGAGGTATGTCGGAAACAGGAGCGACGGCGATTCTGAAGGAGGAGGTGGACATAGTTATCCCCACAATAAGGAACCTGGAGTTCTTGGAGAAGTGGAGAGCGTTCTTTGAGCCTTACCACCTCATAATAGTGCAGGACGGTGACCCTTCTAAGGGCATCAAGGTCCCCGAAGGCTTCGACTACGAACTCTACAACCGTAACGACATCAACCGCATTCTGGGCTCCAAGAGCCATTGCATTTCCTTCAAGGACTCTGCATGCCGCTGCTTCGGCTTCTTGCTCTCCAAGAAGAAGTACATCTTCACCATCGACGATGATTGCTTTGTCAGTATCACACTTTTTCTTAGATTTCATCATACTCATTCTTCTTGAAAAATGATATATAGTCTTTATTTTCTTTTCTCCTGTTTCAGGTTGCAAAAGATCCATCTGGGAAAGAAATAAACGCCCTGGAACAGCATCTGAAGAATCTTCTGACTCCATCAACCCCGTTTTTCTTCAACACCCTCTACGATCCGTTTAGAGAGGGTACAGATTTTGTCCGTGGATACCCGTTTAGTCTGCGTGAAGGTGTCCCTACAGCTGCTTCTCATGGCCTCTGGCTCAACATTCCTGATTATGATGCCCCAACTCAGCTTGTCAAACCTCTGGAGAGGAACACCAGGTACGATGAATGTTTAGGTCAAATTTTTTTGAAGAAAAGTTGAAAAAAATACTTAAATTTGTTAGAATATATTGGTTTTTGTATTTAAGGTATGTGGATGCAGTAATGACCATACCAAAGGGAACCCTGTTTCCCATGTGTGGAATGAATCTGGCATTCAACCGTGAATTAATCGGTCCTGTAATGTACTTTGGACTCATGGGTGATGGTCAACCTATCGGACGCTATGATGACATGTGGGCTGGTTGGTGCATGAAGGTATTGTATTCCAAACATCATGTTGAAAAGGGGAGATTTTTGTAGAAGATTGTTTGATTAATTTCTCATGTTGTAGGTGATAAGTGATCATCTGGGATTCGGGGTGAAGACAGGTTTGCCTTACGTCTGGCACAGCAAAGCGAGCAACCCATTTGTAAACCTTAAGAAGGAGTACAAAGGAATTTACTGGCAAGAAGAGCTGATTCCATTTTTCCAATCTGTTTCTCTTCCCAAGGAATGCACTACTGCTCAGAAATGCTACGTTGAACTATCGAAACAAGTGAAGGCAAAACTTGGGAAGGTTGATGAGTATTTCAACAAGCTTGCAGATAACATGGTAACTTGGATTGAAGCTTGGGAGGAACTAAACCCTTCTGTGGCACCAAAATCTGATGCATTGCCCAATGGCTCTGCCAAGTAACTTCTTCATCACTAGGATATGCTTGTAGTCTTCATTTTTCTTTTCTCTTTCCATAGAACAATAAAATTTCATCACTGCCTCCTCAACGTATATTTTTTAATGTTTTCTTCATCACTTTGAAATGTAGCTTCTTACTAAACTTTGAAATTTGGCAGCCAGGTTATTGCTCTTGGTAATGTCTTCTAATTCCTGCCATTTGCACTTTCCTTTTTTCTGCACTCTTATTTCTATTATTAATAATAAAAGTACTAAATAATAATAAATTATTAAAATATTGTGTATATATTAATTTAAATTATTATTAAATAATTTTTATAATGATTGATATAATATAATAATAATAATATATTTTTTTATATTATCATTACTGTGATGCTTTCCGTCTTTAGTGAAGAGGAACATATGACACATTTTTCTTCTACAAATTATTTTGCAGGGGTTCCATAAGAACGTAATTGATTACTTAAAAGTTGCATATAAGTTTTAGCGCGATCCACACACCTATAAAAAAAAAAATCGGCCCCAATTATAAACGAATAATTAAATATTGACTATAAAGTTACATATTTAAATATTTGATTTATTTAAAATATGATATTCTAATCTTTATACTAAATTTAGAAAGGGAGGTTGCATGCAAAGTGAGGTACGCCTATTTATAAATATAGGAAAGAGTTCTTTACATTGGTTATTTTGGATATTATAGTTTGAATCAACAATCAAAAGATAAATCAGGTGACTTCTTTTGACTTGAGTGACGAACGGAAACCTATAATTCCATATTATACTTTGATTATAGAAGAATTGAAACATATAAAAAAATAATAAATAAAAAACAATTATGTTTTAGTTCTTTTAGTAATGAAAACATAAACATAAATAAATAATGAAAAAAAAAACTATGTTTCGGTTTGTTAAGAAGTGAATTTTAAGTCTAACTCAATCTTACAAAACTAGTTTGTAAGGTGAGGTTTACATCCACTTATATACTTTAAATTAGTTTTATCTTTAGTTGATATAGAATTTTCAATATAGTTATTACAAGAATGAAACCTAATATTCTTATAATTAAATAATATTTTAAATCCTAAAAGGATTAATCTTTAGTTACTACTAGTATTAAAACCTAATATTTCCTTTGTGTTTCAGTTTTGGTTATAACCAAAACCTAATCACTACAAAAAAATGATGTATTACTAACACTCACTTTCATTGGTAACTTTGAAATTTTGTCAGTAATAACATTTTTATTGGTGAATTTTCAATGGTTTTATGTGTAAATAAGTAAAGGATCACCTCATTTGTGTTGTTCAATATGTACATATGTACTTGCAACAGTTCTTTGAGACATTTGATTACCACATTTACACCTCATATGCTTTTACTTATAAAACACTTGTTCAACCATGATCTGCAAGGAACTCCTATCAGATTTATTTTATCATGTAATCTTAACAAAACTCAATACTTTATTTAGCAATATATCTTTCAATCACTGAAGCTTCTAAGTGATAGTGATTTTTCACATATCCTTTCAAAATCTTCATATAACATTCAATAGGATACATTCATCTTAGATATATTGGTCCACATAACTTAATTTTTCTTTCCAAATGAAAAAGTAAATGTACCATGATATCAAAAAAGGATGGAGGGAAAAACATTTCCAACTGAGACAAGATGATAACAATCTCTCCTTGAAGTTCATATAATTTTATAGGATCAATGGATTTACTACAAATTCAAGAGAAAAATAAAGACATGCAAATTATAGTTTGTCTAACATTTTTGGGTAAAATTCCACGAATAGCCACCGGTAATAATTGTTGCATTAAGATGTGACAATCATGAGACTTCAGACCAACAAACTTCAAGTCTTGCATCGACATTAAACTCTTAATATGAGAAGATTATCCTTATGGTACCTTGACACTCTTTAGACAAAGGAAAAAACACATCTTCTCTTGTCTAGACACAATGTAACATGTAGGGGGAAAATAAGTACACTTACAAACCTCCTATGGTGCCAAGTCTTCTCAAATCTTCATTTCAAGCACATCCAAATAAGCATTTATTTTATCTTTTGTCTTTCCCTAAATATTAAGTAGTGTATCAATCAAGCTATCACACAATCTTCTCTACATGCATTATTGACTTTATTAACTTTTTCATGAATTTAAAGGCCAATTAATGGGATTGGTGCATAGTCATTCTCTTTATGTCTATTGAATGCTTTTTCAACCTTCGATAATGATGATTAGGTTGTAAAAATCTTCTATCGTGCAAATATACTCGCTTCCTCTCATGTTTCAATTGATGGGTTAAAGTGTTTTCTTCACATATAGAACATGTTTTATGACTCTTGACATTGTACCCTGACAAATTATCATAGGTTGAGAAGTCATTAATGGTGAAAAATAACACTACATGAATCATGAAAGTTTTATAAGCAAAAGCATCAAGTATTTCAATCCCATAAATCCATAACAACTTCAAGTCTTCAACTAGTGGACTGAGATAAACATTTATCTCATTTAAGGGTTGCCTTAGATGAGATATAATCGCAGACAATATCATGTACTTTCTCTTCATGCAAAATCTAGGAGATAAGTTGTAAATGAATAATATAACAAGCTAACAACTATGGTTTTCACTTAAATTACTAAATTGATTCATTCCATCGGTAGCTAAACCAAACTGAAGATTTCTACATTCTTGACTAACTAAGGGAATTCATTATCAATATTTTTCAATTGCATTGAATCAACCAGATGACAAAGTAGTTTGTCACATATTCTCTCATCTACATGTTATCTAAGGTTTTTAGTGTCTTTTGGATTCGCAAACAAACGCTTGAGTATGGGCATGATTGGAAGGTACGAAACTACTTTCAAAGCAAGACCATCGTTTTCTATTTGCCCACTATCTTCGCTATTGGTTTTCTACTTGTACCATGATAACCCACACTTCAAACATGTTTTCAAACCTTTAAATTCTTTTCTGTATAATATGCAATCATTATGACATGCATGTATTTTTTATAGTCCATACCTATCAAACAAAAAGTTTATTGACATCACAATTACAAGTGCATAATGTATTTTCATCTAGAAGCATTTCATTCAACAATACTAACAATTTTGTGAACCCTTAGTGGTCCACCTATTGGTCCCCTTCAAATTCATGAGCCTTAATACTACTAACAACCTGTGAATTTAGTTGAACTGACATACAATGAAGTCTCTGCATTAGTAGACATTGTCTTATACTCATGCGCTTGGACAAAAGCTTATGTTCCAACATCATAGATCATGTCCTCTAATTTGTCTTCTTCCCATCAATATTCCATGGTGGAATCAACATGTTCAATTCAGGAGGAAGTTGAGAAGTCTATTAATTCTCCATGCCATGTTCATGTTGTATAACTTCGAAAGAAACCAACATAGATAAAATGTTTCCTAATTTCGGTTGCATTCAACTTTTTTCCATTCAAGCAGTTGATACAATGACACCTAAATTTCACTTCATCATCACTTCTATCCTCATTACACTGTGCAAATTGTATAAATTCTTGTACTTCTCTTTCATACTTAACAGTAATGCGCGGTGAATTAATCTAATCTCGATCCATACATTTGAATATTTAAATGAATGTTGATCTCACTTTGGTTTTCAAGGTATGAACCTATCCCATTCAAGAAGATTAACTTGTTTTAGTTTATTGTGCATATCAACTTTTAACAACATATATTAAATTTTATGAAATTTTGCCGGCATTTAGCTTTGGCCTTGTAGGTTACATGAAATGAAAGTGATTATCAATCGTAATCAAATATACATACAAAGATCAATACAAAATACATTTGACAAATATTCATAAATTTTAAGACATGTATATTAAAATATATTATATATGAATTACTAAACTATAAAAAAATGATTAATCTTCTTAAACTGTCTAATTAGACAACTCAAGATTCAATACCTATAAATTATTAGTATTGTCTCCTTTTATATTAATTTTTAAAAAAT